TGTGGTCTGAGAACCAAAAGACATAATGCTTCCCCTTGATTTTGCTTTTATCCCCATGTCCCCAGCTAATAGTGCTGTTGAATGTGGTTACTGACAATGGCACTTCATCTCAGAAAACTACAATTTAAATGCACGGTTGTGTTTTTTCATGTTCTTCCCTTCTCTAGGGATGGATTTCTGAGGAGAGCAGAACCAAAAACTGCTTTCATTTTGTTACTCAGAAGGGTTAGGGTAAAAAGAGAGCTTGTGACACTCGAGTAAAGACATTAATTTCTCTGAAAGTTGGGGTTGGTTCTATGTTTGTGTGTGTGTGTGTCCCTCAGGTGGGGCTAATTTCTACCCCTTCTTACTGTAATAGGAGTTTTCAGTCTTGCCCTGCTTATATTTTAATAACAAGCAGCTGCATTATCACAAAAGTATCTCTCCAAAGAGTTACAGGGTAGAAAAGAGGCCACGAAGAATCCAAAAGATGATAGCACAGAAATATCTCTTCTAGGAATCCTGAAGTACCAAGCCTTCAGCAGAGATGACAGGGAAAGTCTTCCTCTCACCTATTAAGAACATGAAATGTTTCAAATGTTTTGTTGCAGCTACTTTGGAACAAAAGGAAAGGTAAGAGCAAGAAAGAAATTCTCTCACCCAGACTTAAGCTGTCAGAATGGAAATGAAGAGAAGAAATCAAAGAAAAAAATATGCTTTGATAACATCATATGACTCACAAGCTTTAACAAACTCCCTTCAGAAATACTGTTAGGCAGAGTAAAAGATCCCTTGTCTTCCTCTTTTCCATTTACATATCCCAAGATTTGCTGTGAAAGGAAACACCGATATTTTCCTCCAAATCTTTAGGAAAAAACAGCTTCATGTTTTTGCAGCTGCACTTGCCAGAACACTGTTCCCACCAGTCCCTTGGCTCTTTCCTCAAATGTCCCATAGTTCAGATTCCTTCAAGGGTAACTGTCAAATCCTCATATATTAGTCCCCAGGACACAGAGACATAATCCCTGTCTTAAAAGACCTCAAATTATTTTCCCATTTTGCAGTTGGTACAGCTCCTTCTATCTAACGCTGCCAAAGAAACCCAACACAGCACAGTGACCAAGCCAAAAACATGAAGTTTTTTTTCTGTTTTATTGTTTGTTTGTTTTTTTTTCTATTTCAGGACTCAGAAGCTTTCAAAGGCATACACAATATGTTGAAAGCAGCAGTTGGGCACACACGCCTTGAATTTAGAAATTGCCCACCTGGATCCGTGTTTCAGAAGTTTCTTCACAAAGCCCAGAGCATCAGAACAAGGCTCAGCACCTGAGAACACTTGGCTTTGTTCTCCTTGGCAATGTTAGCATGTTCATCCTGTCAGTGCTCACAGAATAACCTGGCACTGCTCACCCCAGAAGACTGAACCTCATTAAAGAGAGACAAAGCAGCCCCCCAGGCCGGGTATCTCCCCCCTGTCTGCCTACATAAGCAATCAAATCCAGTAAAAGGTTAAGAATAGGAATATAATGGGTAAAATTTAAGAATGGGAGTAGGAATATTACAAGATGACAGCAAGTAAGACACATGTCTACTTCAGTTCTTTCCTCTTGTAGCTACTCCAAAAACTAAAGGACTGAAAAAATACCTGCTAGCTCTGCATGTGAAGTTAACTAGGGTTAATCTGTAATGCCTGCCTAACACACACCTGCACAGACATGCTGAGCTCTAAAAAAAAAACTTGTTTATTGTGCTGACCTACACTGTATATAGGTTTGTGAAAAATAATTAGAATTTTTCAACAATTAGGACTACACACATAATGCTATGCTAAGAATAATAATGTTCTTCATCACAGGTCTATTCTGTTGGAAATGAAAAAGTTAGAAGCACTCAGACTTCAGCACAAGACTTCATCTGGAGGTTTTCAGAAACTCTCACTGGCTAACATTTGACTTACAAGCAACAACCTAAAAACCAAAGCAGCTGCCCCTGCAGCATCGACCTGCACGTGGATGTGGTTCAGTAGCACAGGATGTGCTGGCAGCCTCCAAGCAGAAATTCTTCTCCTGAGGCAGAGAACTTCCCTCAATGCCAGTCACAGGTACTGCAACCAAAATAGTGCACTCAGTATTTATAGCCCCACAGAGCACTCCCGGGGTTTAGTCATCAGTGTGTGACGATGGACACACCCCTCAAGGGCTAAAAATAAGAAAGTGTTCAGGACTCCTGACCCGGATCTGGTTAGTGATGTACCCACTCTCCACTTTATCAGCTCCAGCTTTCCCTGCAGTTATTTACCCAGTGGCATCTGAGCCCTCCTTAACGACATGCCTGGAGCAGAGCTAATGATTATGTGATTAATCTGCATAACCCCGACTCAAAACAACTCTTGACAAGAGCACTTGACAAAACTGGTTTCCCAGCCCCTCCAACACACAGTAAGTCACGCAAAATAAATTCTTAAGAGGCAGTAGGGCAAGGTCATTTGAGCCCCTTGTATCACTTAGTTCCAAGTGTATGTATATTCATCCAGCCAGAAGAGCAGAAAATGCCTTTGCTTTCTTCAAAAAGAAAGTGAAACAAGCAAGTGATCTTTGCTCTAAATAAATGGCAGCAGGTAACATACCTGGAAAAATGTAACAAAATTAAACTTCAAATTGTAATGAAGCCTGAGTCTTATGGAATGGAATCATTTACCCAACCAGGTTTTAGAAGGATCAAAAAGCTTAAAAAAAAAACCCCAAAACCACACTTCAAACCAAAAATCCCACCTGGTGGAATCCCTCAACTAATTTTTAAGCTTTTCCATAAAACTCATGTGGGACTTCTCAGCTTGTTGCCAGCACAGACTGCTTTCATCTGAGCTTTTCACTCTTGTTTGAAAGGGTAGACCAAGATAAGATTTCCAAGAAATCACAGCTGGCATGTTCACAAATGAACAGTCAAAGCACATATAAAGACAAAGATTCCTTTTAATCCCCTGCATGAGATGTATTTCCTTCTTTGTTAGTGAAAAACACAGATCTCAGCTTTTGTAAAAATGTATACACCATGCCTAAAAGTGATCAGAAACTCCAGTGCTTAGCTGCAATTAACTGTGATTTCCACTGCCCAAAATCATCTTGAGGATAAGTGCTCCATATCCTGTTTTGATTGCCTCACCTGCTTCTATTTCTGTGCCCACAGATAGAGAACACTGAAGAGCAACACAGGGAAAAACATGAAAAATCCAAAACAAATTACAAATGAGAAAACAGAGTCATCACCTATTTCCCAGAATATTTATGTTTTGCTTCTCATGCTGTTGAAAAAATTCAAGTAGAACTAAAGAAAGCAGCATGTAATTTGCAGCAATTGTATTAGCAAAAAAACCTTATTTCTAAGCATCTCTTTACCCAGCCACTACTTCCACAGAGTGGTACTGCAGAACAGCTTTAAACCAGGACACTAGACTGGAAAAGTACTTAATAGAACTAAGAATTGCCCCCAAACCTCTTGATTGTTTTCCTAGCGGCTGCTTTCTTCAAGAGTATCAGAAGTTCCCAAGATAAAGATGTAGGATAGGGTGATACAACACTAGAAAGGCACATATTTGAAATACTAAATACATTTTCTGGCAACTCACCTCAAATGGAAAGAGAAACAGAGTAAGAATATAAATGGACAAAGCCCATTCCCTTCTGGAGATTAGTTCTGATTTTATTTCTAAATGGCTAAACTGCTTAACTATGTGAATTTGTATTTTCACTGCTGACAGATGAAGCTGACATCACTTACAAGGAAGGCTTAAGAATCCACTTTTAGGTATTTATTTTCATAAATTATTTAGCCAGAAGGTTGTTGCACTGAATTTGCAACTGCCCAGAAAGATCCAGACAATATTTAATTTTGAATCCCCTTCTAGCCTGCACACACCAACATGCATTCTATAAAAAATGATTAATTTTTAACCAACTGTCTTTTTGCTACTTAATTCTGATACACACATTTAAATTCTAGTTGCCATCCAAGAACACAGATTTTTTTTATTCAGCAATGAACTCTCTTTGAACTCACAATGTCCAGAAAGGTTTTCTGGCCATTGCTCCACTCAGAACAGTGTCAAAAGGGCACAGTCTTAAAGAATCTTTTCCCACAAGGTGTGTCCCTTCCCAGGCTGTCATCTGACAGACACATGAAAAACACCCAGTGACCACAGAAGAGAATAGCTTAAGGGACAAAGGTGACAGCTGTACAAACATTTTCAATGCCAGGTTTATGCAGGACAGTGAAATGCTTGGTTCTTAACCTTCTGAAACCATCATATATAAAGTCTCCCCAAATGTTTCCAAGAAAAATCAAAGGCATAGAGCTCCAAAGCGTGACTTCACAGAAAAGTCAAACATCTTGTAAAATGAACAAGTCAGATTTTGCCTGTGGCAAATTTTACAGAAACCTCCTGACACTGCCTAAAAGATTGGTTTGATTTTGCTTTCTGAGTTTCTACCTCTTGGCTCTTGCTTGAGAACATTTGGGCAGATCTCAGTTTTAGCCTTCAAATTACAAAGTGTCCGTGGTGTGTTTGACACAGTTCCAGGACAGCAATGTCACACAGGCTGCCCTGGGCTGCACAATGTCCTGGCACCATCCCCTGCCAGGACACAGCCTGCCACTCCTCTCCTACAGGGACTCAGAGCAGAGAGAAAAGAAGAAAAATGTAACCTAGAGGGGTGAAGCTTTACCTGGTGTACAAGGGAAAATCAATTAAATACAGGTAAAACCAGAAGGAATTAATTTAGTGCACAAATGGGGACTCCCTTTCGTACCTGGCATCTCCAATACTAAAGAAATAGCTGAGGAGTTAGAACCAGATGAGGCTAGAAAAGACCCTGATTTCCTTGTTTATCAGTGGTGTGTGTTAACATCTAGCCTACAGCAAGATTATTTTGGAAGCCAATTGCTTAAAGAGGTCTGCAAGTAAGAGCAGGGATTTTTCATCCATCTGAATAGAAAGCAACACCATCCTCCTTCACTTATTTTACCTTAAAGAGCTCCAGGTTCTCTGTGAACTTGACTACAGGAACAGAACTGGAGAAAAAACTCCTGCTGCCTTCCACTGAAACCAGTCCAGGACAATTCATGGGTATTCAGTCAGTTTTACCGAGGCTGATGCACACAAAAAGAATATACAGCACAGGACAAGACCACGACTCTGTGGCTCTACTACTGGGTATTCCTGATGATGTTTTAAGCATTTAATTCATTTAATAAGGAAAAAGATCAAGATTCGAATAGAAAACAAGGTACACAGCTGAGCTAGTCAGGAATTCTTTGATGAAATACCAAATAAGACTTTTAACCTGATGTAAGAGAAACCTCTTCTGTTTGAATGATGCCACTGGTGCCCCTTTTCTGGCCACTGCAGCACCACTGGGGTATCCACAGCAGCCTGAATCAGCCAGCAGCAGTGCCTAGAAAAGACATTTTCTGGTACAGTGCAAAGGAAGCACAGGCATAAAGAAGCCTCACAGAGACCCCAGAAGTCTGAATTGCAAAGTGGTTGGGGCTGTGCCAGCTTTTGTGCAGGCACAAGGACGTGGCTGCAGTGAGCATGGCCAGAGCACTCTGGACACAGCCAGCAGCTGGGCAGCAGTGGAGCAGAAATATGCAGGTATGAATATATGCAATATGAGCATTCACCTGCACAATTTGTTCCTCACCTCAGGTCGGGTCTCTGAATATTCCTCATGTCAGAATGTGCTCCATTAAATGTGCCATGACTGTTTCTCGGGTGAGAAGAAGCTTTAAGACTTGCAAGGTTTAACATTTGGCAAGTCTTCCAGATTTCTCAGCTGAAGGAATAAACAAAACGTAAATACCAACTTACCTGATACTAACAGGTGTTTTCCTGTAGTTATCACATTGCTGGCATTGCTCCTGAGTCACAGTATGAAAATCCCTTACCAGAAGAATCAGATCAAGGGGAGTATCCACATGAAACCAGGAACATTTAAAAGAGAAAAATAAAATTTACTCTTGAGTCAACACTAACCACACTGAATCATTGTCAGACAAACAAGGAAGTTAGAAAACTCTGACAGGTATTTTGTTTGGGAAGTTCCTCTTCCATATAACTTGAGATATTTTAAAATAGTTTTTGTTGCAGAAGCTGATTAAAGGAACAATGACAGGAAATCAAATATTCCTCAAAATTAAGTATTATATTAATAGCATTAAATGACAATGTCCTCTAAATGTTGACATACAGAGTGATAAATTACTTTCACAATATTTCTTTGATACATAACAATGCATTTATGAACATACATGGCTAGGACAGTTTGCTCAGTATGCACATTATAATATTATTTGTGTGTTCACATTCATGCACTCAAGTTTTTGGAAATTACAAAAAAAACATTATTCTGCTGATAAAGAAAACTTACATCCAGATAATATAAATTTAACTGCTCAAGATGTATTGACTTGCACCTTACAGGTTTTCAATGCACTTTGAGGCAGACAGGGGGGTCTATTTCACTCCTGGTATAGAGGACAGTTCATGGCCCTTGTAGCGGAAACAATATTGTTGTAGAAATATTGAAGCTGGTGACAGAAGGATTTACCCCAGTGGAACCACAAGAAAGGAGAATCAGGACAGTAACACTGCTCAGTTATATGTGAGGAATGCTTTTTATCCTATTTTCTGTGAAACCATCAGAGGACTCTAATCCCAATTGCCATAACCGTGGCTTTGCTTTCCTCGATGCTCACGCTAATCCTCTGCATATTAGACTAAAATACATGTTTTTTTCTTCACTCAGTAGTTCATCCCTTTGGCTCAGCACTTGACCTCTTTACAGCCATAGTGGTTTTTAAAAGCAGCTGCTCTGCATTGTTGAATTCATAGGATGGAACTGCCATAACATCACTAAAACTCCTCCATCACCTTTCAACACCTTAAATCTACATTTTTGGTCTCTGGTCCACTGCACTGTACAGAGTTCTAACCCTACTTTCCTACATTAGGAAGCCTCCATTTGATCATGACATCTTGCTACTAAGTTTTTATGGCAATAAATTAAAGTAATTTTCAATGCCACTGAGTTATTTTCATTAAAATTAAACATTTCTAATCAAATGCATTAACCTTTCTTGAACAAGGTTGTCTGCGCACAGGAACAGAAGAAAATACAAAGCTCTCATGGCAATTTAGCCAGATGGAATACAGAAAATATAGTTATTAATTTTAATCTGAATGAAGTTCATAGAGCATTCCTGCCAACCCTCAACACTGAAGGGAAAGAATAAATAATTTCCCTACTGACTTCTGCTTCAATAGGATATAGAAACCAGATGAAAACACTGCTTTTTATAATCACTGGGCTAATCAAACAATTCTGTCTTCTTTGAAAAGTGTATGAGTGAGAAGAAATGAGATTTTTCGTGACTCATTAGATATTTCTGTAACATTAAGTAAATTTTGTCTAGGCAACACTTAGGAAAAAGAAAGCTTTTGTTATTCCAAACCTTTATCTTTTAAATGGAAGTATGAGAAACATCCATAATTTACACTCAATTTATTCTTGAAGAATCCAAGAGCTGCACTTCCAGTACTAAGGAGCCTAAAGTAAGCACATGGACAGATCACAGGTAATGAAAAGGAAAAAGGAATCTTAGATCCTTTTGAAAGCCTTTCCATGATTTGCATTAGTGGTGTCACTGCAGGATATTCTGAGTTTTAAAATTTTTGCCCCTGAAAGAAATTACTTCCTTGCCTGGAAGAAGCATTTCAAATATCCAGCCAGCAAAATCCATTAAAGAAGAGCCATAAAGGTACTCCCAGATAATTCTGGCCTGAGCTGGATTTTCTCTGCCCTGGTCTGTAGATTTATCCCAAATCTCCCTCTACGTTATTATGAAGATTTGATGCAAACTTTACTTCTCACTTTCCTCCCTCACCCATTTTGGTCAATCATCTGTTCTCTAATCAAAAGGCATCCTTCCCTTTTTATTTGTGTGAGCCTCTTCTAAAGAGATTTTCATTTCCAATTCCAGAAGCTGTAATATTAATGTGCCCACTCTGTGCCATTCATTATCTTCATTACTCAGCCACACATTCTATTTTCCTGCCCCCTTACAGTTGTCACATCTTTCCAAGTCACAGGATTTCAATTTACACAGGATTGGGTGAAAAGGGCTCCTTTAAGGCACAACTACAGGAAAGACCAAAAACAGCCATAGATTTTTTTTTCTTCCCAAAAACTTAGGTGTCAAATTCAAATGATCACAGGAGAATGTCACAAAAACTTTCTAGCTAACACATCTGCAGGATAAAAGTTGAGCCAAACACACTCCAAAGATTCAGAATACAAAGAACTCCCTGCTTTTCGTACTTTTTTTAGATAATTTTGTTTTAGCCTTGGTTTCTAATAATTTGAATGGTAGTATTATCAGCTGTGCCCGTTTGAAGCAGAACTTTCAGTCATTTGGCAAGAGCCAAATACCACAGGGAAGAATCACAAACAAAAATATGACCTGCCACACATCTGTAAAGGCTGACTAAGTTTGAATGTAACATCATTAAACATTCTGATTTTTTTTTCTCTTTGCTATTTCAAATGTATTTCTTTTGCTTACAGGAAAGCACAAACAGAAAATACAAGGGTCCACATGAGTGGTTAGGAAACTAAGTATACTCTGCAAAGAACATAATAGGATTAGGAAAACAGTAGCAGTTCTTATTAAATAGGGAGCGAGGAGACTGTTTAGGAGGTTTGGGGGTTACTTGATCTCTTCAGGAAAGCGTCTTAGGCAGCAGCAGCTGATCACAAGTGGAAGGCGAGAGGCACAAGGGCACATAAAACATGGCCTGAGCACAAGAAGGAGCAATTCATTCCTTTCATATCTCCTCTGTGCTCTACTCTAAGAGGAGATTAATATTCCAACAACTATTGCAAACTGACTAAAGGAAAATATTTTATCCTATTCACCAAAACTTTACTCAGTAACTAAGGGAAAAAAAAACCAGTAATAGAATCACCAAAAGTTTGGTAAAGAATACAGGACAAGGAAAGGAAGCACAATAATATGGATGCAAAAGGATTTTCATATTTAACTAAGATTCAGCCTCATGAAAAATTAATATTTCCATTTCACAAGAACAAGTTATCTCAAGACATCTATCTAACTGCTTTGATGTTCTTTAAATGGAACATAAATACAACTCCTTCTATTAAATTTCTGCTGTCAAAGCCAACCTTTGTGGCTGGTTTGATTTTCTGTTGTTTGGGGGTTTTTCTCCCCCGCAGTTACATTTTCAACAGCTACACAAAGCAGCTTTCCCTTCTCAGAAAACAGTAGAATTTTAAGGCTAAATCAGACCGTGAGACAAAGATAAGCATCTTCTGCTTCATGATGGAAATCATTCTGATTTTGCAATTGATGATTTGTTAGGGTACAAGCCAAGAGATGAAACCTGACACCCTGGCCAAGCACCAGCTCCTGACAGAGTAAACAAACTTCAAGAGCCACGGAACTGAACTCTGCACTGTTTCCATTTGCCACCCAACTTGCTCGTGGATAAAAGTACCAAAAGGGTTGTAATACATGCCTGAGCGCCGCTGGTTTAGATCATTTTCTTCAAAGCATCCCATTTTAGATGTTTCACTTATAATGCAAATAAACAACAAAAGAAGGTCACTAACACGTGACCTTTTGTCTAAAGATTGTGTTTCCCTTGCCAAGAACTTCATTCCTTCAAATCCCCTGGGGACTCTCTGCATCAATGATTTTGCATCTGAAGTTCCTTACCTGTACTTCACCTAGTCTGAGCTACCAAAACAAAGCTTAGTAAGTTACTCTAGATTCCAACACTTGGAAGTGGAGTTTGCAGCTGAACTGGCTGGTGACACAGTGCACTGCTCCTCTTCATCCTGGTTTTCCCCATTGTCGAAGGGTTTTGCTCCTTACTGAGGAATGATGACCCTGGAAGCTAAACCTGAGCACTGACTCTCAGCTCTTCACCTGTGTGCTCTGCAATGTTGTCTAAAACGGGGTTTAAACACTGACATTAGTAGTAGCATCCCTTCCTTAGAGGTGTGCTTTCCAAACTCTCTCCTGTACCACGTAGCTGCTGGATTTCAAGCCTGGAAA